ATTTGACTCATTAGTATTTGCTCTTCTCACTCGTGACTCGGGACCTTGTGCCGACAAGTACTCGATTGCTTGGTTCTCCTGTTCTGTAGTTGTGCTTGCTGCCACATTCATAGAATATTCGTTCTGAAATAATTATAAAATTACCAGCAGCAGTCTGTCCATTCAATATAACATAAAGTTTGTTGTAAAGATTTTTTTTTACCTTTACGGTTTTGAAACTGTTCACTACTAGTATGGGTAAAATACCATGGATACAAAAATATACGGGTTTTTAGCCATTTACAAACTAGCACGATGTTAAGAAATTTAACTAGATATTGGAGCTAGGCTTTTCGTTAGGTAATGGACATTATAGTGTTGAAGGGAACTTTATGTGTTGAAGGGAACGGCGAAAACACTGTGGTGTCAACGCTGGGTCACGAACCCTAGTTCAGTCTGTCCTGTGACTGAAAGATTTGCTCTCGCGGCTGAAAGATTGACACAGCTGCCGGGAAATGAGTGGCTTGATTAGGTGGGCCTAAATGGTGCGTTAAAGCTCTGGTTTAACCGTAGTAGATAAAATCAGTTAATAAATGGTTTTTTTTTCACAGTTAACAGTTTGAATACCATATCAATTATGCATACTTGACTGTTTTGCTTGAATATAATAAAATAATAATGAAAAAAATTTTTTTAACCATTTCTTCCGAGAAATTTCTAACAGTGCATGAAGACGAGTCATCTTTGTCAGTGTCTGAGCTTTATGAGAATGGATCGCCTAAGTCAATTCATTCATTCTTAGTATTTGCCTCAAATTAATTTTTTAGTCGCAAATTAATGGCTGACTTATATATAGAATAACATGATATTTCGTATCATTTAAATTTTTAAAAGCTCGAAGTAAACCCGATTTAAAAATTTCAATAACCTTAACAAAAGATAAATAAATAAATAAATGAAAAAAAAATGCTGCAAAGCATATATTTTTGTCGGCAGTTTATATTTTGTGAAGGAATTTTTACTCATAACATATTAAAATTCAATTAATTTTCGCCTGAATATTGAACAATTTTAATAGACTTTACTTTTAAAAAAAATTACACTACAAATCTGTTAAATAGACTATTTTAGTTAAATTTTTACTTTAATTCTAACTATATAAAAAAAATTCTTATTAAGCAGAAATTTACAAGTACAATTTCCATAATAATTAATTCTTATAGTATCTCATGACATGATAAATATTTTCATTAATATCTCTATGATGATACCAAATATTTATTGTCTTTTTTTAAAACGATTAACAGCTTATTAATATTATGTTCCTATTTATTTTGTCCATAAAACATATTAATAAATCTGCTTGTTTTGAAATAGTTGGGTATGTAAAGCATTTTCTAATAATGAACAGTAACATGAAAAATGTTAAAATTTATTAAAATCTGTGTGATTTTCTAATTTAAAAGACATTTAAATTGCTGTTGTATTCAGAATTAGCAGCACTTTGTACAAGAAAAAAATTTATATATATTTTCATACCTACATTTACAAAGAAAAAAAAAAGTCTAGTATGCTCTTGTTTTAAAAGCTATTTTATTTTTTGATAATTATTTCGCAGTTTAGGATTTGAATTAAAACATAACAGGGGATTATAAAAACTCTTCAGTACAATATGTTTTGATATAGCATAATATTTTAAATTTAAAATACTAAATCTTTGGAATTATAATATAACTATTTTAATGCAAGTAATTTGCATTTTTACGGTTAACGCATTTTTCATTTAATTTTCGAAAACTTGAATAAAAATCTTCTCAAAAGCGATAAAGTTCTTATATTAATGATTATATTATGATAAGCAAAATAACCAATACTAAAGATTTATTTAAAGTAAAATATTTGCCTATTTGGTATATATTTTTATTATTATTTACTAGGGACTTAGATTTCAGTATAATGCAAGATAAAAAAAAATTCTGCGTTATATATTTTAGAAAAACTACAATTAGTCCGAAAAATTTTCTTATATTGATTGTCATAATCTACACTTTTACAACTTCTTGCATTTGTATATTTCTTTAAAGAAAAGAACTTGTTGATTAACGTTAACTAGATAAAAATTACACAATTTTACTAACCATTCAGTACGTAAGATTTGAAGTAGTTGCACACACGTACCTGAAGTGCGTTTGACTCAGTGTCAGAAAAGTGCTCATGCGTCAGCGCAAAATTACGTGAGCAATATAAAGAAATTTTGCAAGATAGCGAAAGAATTTTGGAAGATATCGATTGTAGCGAGCAGGGAGTATGACAAATCAGTACATAGAGTTAAATTTACAAATGAAACTATCATAAAAGCCAGATATATGCTTGCAACAAAATACAGTAATGAGAATATACTGCTGGAAATTTCTTGGAACAAATGGTTAAATAACAATTTATTTAATTTTAATTTTCAAAATAGTCGAATAATCATAAATAAGATGGTAATTAAACTGTTAACTGTGATAAAAACCGTTTATTAACTGCTTTCACCAAATACGGCTGAACAACCAGAATTTTATCGCACCAACTAAACTCCTCTAATGAAGCCACTTAGTTCTTTGCAACCGCGTACATGTTGTAGCCGAGAGGGCCAATCTGTTGGTCAGTTTCATGATCAACAGAACTGGGGTTCGAGTCCTAGCGATGACAGTACAATATTTCCCCAATTTCCTTCAACACATAAAGAGTTTCCAGAGTTCTGCACTCCCCAATAGTGCTCCGCACTCTTCAATGCCCATTACCTTACGAAAAGCCTAGCTCTCATGTCCAGTTAAAAACATTTTACTATTTTGAAACTATGCTAGTTGTAAATGTTTAAAAAAACCATGTAGTTCTGTATTCATGGTTTTAAAACCATACTATTTGTAAACGGTTTCAAAACCGAAAATATAAAAAATGCTCTTTTCCTTAAACTTCACGGTGAATTGGATGGGAAGACTACTGCCGTTTGTTTTACGATAAGATTTTAACAGAGAAAATTTTAGTGTGTACATCAAATTTGAAATTTATAAATTAGGAACGGAACTTCAGAAAAACACGTTTATCTCGTAATGTTTATGCATTATTTGAGTTCAAAAATGGTTTATAAATCTTGGTAAATATTGAGGTTAATGGAACTCATAAAAATGTTCCTTAAAATTATAATTTTGAACATTAATTTAGTTGAAATATTAGGAACAAATAAAAACGAAATCATTATTTTTGTCATTATACCAAAATTAATTTCATTTACTGCATTTTTAATTCGAAGTGCAGAATTTGTTTTTATTAAAATTAATATAGTTTCGTGAATAAACAACTAAATATGTAGTAATTTTAATTTTAAATTAAAGCTTAGAGGAAAGGCTATTTTAATCTTTCATTAATTACGAATTAAAAGGGATTTAAAAGTTATTTTTACCTGATGTCAAACAGTCGTAACCATACTTACAGAAGTCATATGAAATAATTAACAAATAATTGTTTAAAATTAAACATCTTGCTAAGTTAATATTTTCATACTTTTGGCCAAATGCAGTTGTTATTCAGTATTAGAATAATCTTTAGCTACATTACGCGAATAATTGTGATTTATTGTGGATTATAAATTATCCCTAGATTCAAAGGCGTACTTTCCACTGCAATGATGTTTGTTTCAGCTTCAAACTCTTAAAAATTCAAAATTGATATTCTGTTTTTAGCTAGATATTATATTCTAATGATGACCATATTATGTATCTTGCTATTCCTGTTCCGATCATGATATTTTAATCAAACTATTCGAGTATTCATTTCCAATTTAGTTCCAGAAATAATATTTCTTCAAATAGATTTTGCTTCTGTTTCGTTTTCGACATATTTTGGTTTTTTTTTTTGTCACGCGTTTGCCTCGTTATTTTAGGTCATACTCTGCAGTGTTAAATTAAATTATTTGGTCATAGTTGCCTACGTCATTCAGTTTGAGCCATATTTGGAAATCTACAGATTATTTAGTTTATACACTGTAAACTGTTTTGGTGTATATTATCTCCATTTTTGGTGTTAAGGTAAACTACAAAATTTTTACAGTGCATGTAGTAAACTTTTTTATTGTTATTTTCACGGTTATAGTTTCATTTAATTATTTATTCATTTTTTTGTACTGATAGCACATTTTCAGCCGCATTAGAATCGATTCAATGGCTTCATCGCGAAAAAAAATTTTTTTTCAAAAAAAAGTATCATATTCGCCCTAATTCCTTCAAATAATCGATATTTTATGAATTTTATATAATTTCTTACACCATAATTATAGTTCTGTATTTAAAAATATATTTAGTCTACCTCAGCACAAAAATACACCAAATTTTTTTACTGTGTATAATAATTTCGTTTTATTTTTTATATACATGTTTATCTATATATTCATGTAAATATTTATTGCTATATTTGTTTCAATAATTTTTTATATATTTAAGAATTTATCTTGTTTTAATATATTTTATTTCGGTTTGGCTACATTTGAAATCAGAAATGATTTCGGTTTTTATTCCACTCAAAATGTTTCTTTTTTTTTTGTTGCTCTGTCGTGCATCATGTCATTCTGTTTCTTGAAACATATAGGCCGTAGTGATTTAAAAATGATGATTTCATAATTGAAACGCAAGAAAAAATGTTTCCCAAAATAAGTTTTTCGAAAACAAAAACCAGTGCTGTAGTTTTTATTTTTACTTTTCTCATCTGTAACAACGGAAAATAACATTTAGTTTTCAAAATCAAAACTTTTCTGAATGCAAACGTGCTTAAACTAGCATTGTTCATTTCTTCAATTCTTTAAAGAAAAAATGTTCGTTCTTTTCAATTATTTTTATGAAGTGTCACATGTCTGATGCCAATAAATTGTTGAAAATATAAAGACCAACAATTTTATCTTGAAAGCTTTCATCAAAAATATTTGATTTGATTTTTTTTTATTGATTATTTCTTTCAAGAACTAATGTTACATTTTATTTTTCTAGATAATGTTCGGAGTTGTGCCGTTTTCGAAAATTCTAGCCATTGCGGTACTGACCATCCTTTGTTCAGCCCTACTGTGTGAAGGAAGGGCCCAACAGTTTTATCCTAATGGACGTTATGGGAGGAGAAGTGTTTTACCACCCCTTGCAGGTACTTCAAAATTAATTTTCAAAGTTTCTAATTTGAAGTCTAATGCCAAATCCTCGAAGTAAATTTTTTTGTTAGATAAAAGAAGTTAAATATATAAATTAAATATGATAATCTTTTCATTTAAAAATAGCTTATTTTAAAAAAAAAATATTTCTTCTGTATTATTCTTTGTTTAAACAGCAACTTTCTACAGTGTACTCTAAGTATACAATTTTTTCAATGAAATATGAAATATTTAGTAGGGGAGAGTGGGGTCAATTGTAACATTTTTTACTTAAATATTTTTAACTAACAAAAAATCCAATATATTATTAGTATTAATTGACAGACGAGTAAAGTAGACTATCCTCTACTAGAAAAAAAAATAAATACCTTATTTTAAATGTTATTATATTAGTTATTAACAATTTTTGACAGTCGTGCACTTGTTACAATTGTCCCCACTTACGGGGTCAATTGTAACAGTTCATAAATTCAACTAAAACATAGTTAATTATACATATTATCATAGTTGTGATATATTTTTTTATTGATCAAAATAGTAGTGATATTTTAGGAGTAAAAATAATAATGAGCAGAGACCTAAAGGGTTAAACTTTTAACTTTAAGGGGTTAAAAATTTTAATTTATGCTGTGAAAGGTGACAAATAAAATAATGCACATGCAACATAATATAAATGATGTAGGAAACTATAGGTGGTTCTTAAAAAGTTAAGTAATGGTTTGTAAACATACGATTATTTATTTTCAGCTGTTACAATCGTCCCCAAGACGGCATTTCAGCTTCATTTGTTAAAAACAATGCTAGTTTATTAAGAAAACTAATTTTTTTTAAATGTTAATTAAGGTGTTCACTTACATATTCGGTTAATAATTTTTAGTTGTTTAAACAAAATTGCTTCGTTACAATATAATATTCTAATACCAAAAAAGTACTTACGTAGCATGAAAATATCTTCTGTAATGTAACTCTTTCAAAAGTACATAAAAATGGTTGCCAGCATGGGTGTACATGTAGGTTTACTAAATACACCTTGTGCGCCACCTAGGAACCAAATCTAGAAAATTTTTGCTCTGTTACAATCGTACCCTGTTACAATTGACCCCACTCTTCCCTAGTATTCCACTTAATAAAAGCAATTTTAAATTTTTTCAAATTTTAAAAATTCCATTTGAAATACTGAGTAAATTCAGCTTAGCTAATTCAACTTTGGAAAATCTGTTATTCCAAGATAAGAAATAGAACCAAGATAAGAAATAGTGCCAAGATAACACAAGATAAGAAATTTTTGTATTCATGTGAATGTATGTATAAATTAAATGCGTTTTAATTAGCATGGAATATTTTGCAGCCTTAAAACAACTAGAGTATTAGTTTTTGTTCGAAACGTGTTTTGAATACATTTTATTTACCTCAAATTTAATTCTGAAAATGCGACAATTACAAATTTATTTACTCAAAGCATAGAATTACTTTTTTCTTAAGAACCATATATTTTTCTTCAAATTGTGTCTAACGTGATCAAAATGTAAAACTTGGTTGAAATATATTTTTTATTGACGTATGAATGCAGACTTTTCCTACATTTTAAACTCGAAGAAAAAGAGAGAGAAATAAATTACCATACAATTCAATTCACAATTCTGAGCTCGTATTAATGCATACTAAGTAAAGTTAAATTGATTAAGAACAAAAAACTAAACAAGATCAATAACTAAAAATAATTCAATTAATAGTTGTGACAACATATTTTCAAAAACAATATCTCCTATTTTTATTTAAGACTGATTACTACTAGATAACTGTGATTGTTATTGAGGAAGTCACAATTTTACATATTGAAATTGGAAATATGTAGATTGATTTATCTGAAATCTGACGGAATACTCTAAATACACCTTGAATTCTGATCTAATTAAATGGAAAATATTTAATTAGTTTCTAGCAAAGGGAATAATCAAATTCAGACATCAGTGATATACATATTTAGCATTTCCCATTTGTCGAAAAACCTTTTTATCTTTAGTTGCAGAAGTTCTATTATACGTCATTCTATTATTAATATTACTAGCTCTATTGTATTATCCTATCTGGAATAAGCTTTAAAAAAATCAGTTATTTTTCCTTAAAATGAATTACAATTTTCAAAAAAAAAATATATACAATGAGTAATGCTAAAAATAGTCATTATTTAGTAAAATATGCTGTTTTGAATGCTTCTAGAATTAATTAATCAATTAATATATCTGTTTCATATAAAAATTTATATTATGTGAATGATTTAGTTAAAATTTTAAATAAAGTATTTGCATTTCTGCAGTTAATTAAATTTTGTAATAGAGACTCGCGTTTATGAACTCTTTTATTTTGATCAAGCTCACTCTCAGAAATAAAGCTCTTACTTTTGACGATTCAGCAATCTTTTAGCTATATTTCGTTAATTATGAGAATTATTTCGTCACGAAATCACGCGGTGTGTGACAAAAGGAGAACTCTCAAATATATGACGAAAATGTATCCTAACTCGAAACCTCATCATAGTGCATTGTGCGAGATTGTTAACTAGAATAAAACTAGAAGACAAGGTGGTCAGAAATAAAAAAAATAATATAAGCTGACCGGGTTGTATAGTGCCTGAGGAGTTTGCCTCGTACCACGAATAACCCGGGTTCGAATTCCGCCTCAGGTACAGGGGAAATTTATCTTATTGTTCTATTTATCTTTCTTGTATTATTAAGGTGACATTGACTCAGTATGTTGCCCACGATAAAGTGGCTGTTAAAAAAAAAATAGCCATCACAAAAGTTTGGCAAATTTGTTTGTTTTTTTTGGAAGAAAAAATAGAATGACGAAATTCGTTTTCGTGAGGAAGTGACGAGTCACTTTGACGAAATATTCACTCGGAGCATATATCAGGAAACAGTTTCGTCGCAAATGAAGAAAGTTTCGTGAAATTTGAGTATCCATTTTTTAATTTGTAGTAGCTATGACAATAGCTATTTATGAGCAATTTTGTATATCTTAAAGATAAAATTTTCATATTTTTATGCAAGTTACAATGTTTTAAAATTTAACTCTTAATCAGTCTACAAGCAAATGTAATTAATAATATTTCCAAACCATATTAATTTTCATCAGTATAAAATATTGTCACTTGACATTAATCCATGAAACAATTTAAAGAAGATAAAAATATCTTCTTCAGTTTTTAGCTGTTAAGAGAAACTTTTGAAGAGAAAATTCTTCAGAATAGAGATTATTTAAACTGATTTGATCACAAGCTCTTAAAAATTTGTTTATCCATTTTTAATGGATGCTTTTAAATTAAAAATTTATTATTTAGTTACTTAGTGATTATACTACTTAGTTTTAGCATTATTTATGCAATAGTTTGTCGCGATAAAATCTTCATAAGTTATGCTTCTTAATAAAACATAGCCTATTTACGTACAAATTTGGATAAATGAAAAATGTATAAGTTGATTATAAAAGTAACTGATCTTAAGTTTGAAATGCAGTTTTATAATGAAAGTAGAAGTAGTCAGTTTAGATTAAAGAGTTTAGTAGTTTTAACTTCTAAGACTAATATTTCATAAAAAGCATAATACACATTAATAAAGAAAGATATAATTAAACTTTTTTATTGACTCATTTTTACTGTGAACACTATTAATAATGCATGCATAGCAAATACATATGAATATGCCAACGCCTACGAATACGGGTTCGGACCTTAAATAAAATTTTAGCGAGTACAACTATATGAGTCTGCCATATTATATTGTGTTATGGGTGAACATATTATTTTATCTTTTTGCAATTGTCGTTGAGCGACCGACACAGTTTTGAGTTTACGACTACCAATGTTCGATCCCATAGCCTTATAATTTTGAACCCAATCCAGAAGACAAAGGAACTCTTGGATAAAAAATTTGGAAAAATTTGCCTTCGCAGAGGACTTTCTGATAGATCTAACCCGCATCTGTGTTACATGGGATAGAAAGCCAAGAAAACCTCCTACGGTTATCCTGACAACAAGGGAACTTTAACCTATGATCCGTGTACTACTGACGATATTTTTTCGTCAGCACTGTGGTCGGTGCCATCCGGATACGGTATTCGTATCGACCATCGATTGCTGGGATTCGAACCCGGTTACCTCATTAGGAAGCAAGCACTCTATCCCTTGAGTCGTCGTGGCACATTTTATATTGTTGTATAAATTAACATATTATGTTATTGTTTGGATTGGCATATTGTATTTATTAGCTTATTATATTAGTGTTTAGATTAGCATTTTGCATTACTGAATGGATTCGCAAATTGTATAGATACATTGTTTAGATTAGAATTTTACATAATTGTATGAATTGATATTTTATATTATTGTATGGTTTACAATATTATACAACTCAATGAATTAGAATATTACATTGTTGTACGGATTACCATTTTATATTTTGATACCGGTGTTAAGACAATAAGTAATGGCGATAATATAACACAAATTGAATTACAAAACCTTAAAGTTTTAAAGTATAGGACTAAACAAACAAACCGAAAAATAATTTAGTGACTTAAAATACTCTTATACGATTTCTTACAAAATTAAATGAATTAATGTTTAAAAAAAGCATACTATTTAAAACAAAAATTTAAAAGTTTAAAATTTAAATCTGAAAGTGTAATGCACAGGATACGCTCTATGTTTAAAAAATATAAAGTTTAAGCTTATGAAAACCATATGTGAAACCGGTAGATTCAGAAAGTATAATTTTTAATAAAATTTTTAATTTAAATAATTACTTTCCAAAATAACACGATGATCAAAATTAATCGTTAATACCGTCAGCTATGCACTGAGAAATAATTGTGTCATAAACTTTCAACTCAAGAATTTCCAATTTTTGCTTCATCACTGCATAAATATAGCAAAAGTTTTTGATCTATTTATTAAAAGGGATAATATAATTAATAAAGCCATGTATTTCGAAAAGTTTGCTTAGCAGTAAATGGCTATTTCTGAAAATTCATTTTTACACAGTATTGGAGGCATATTTAGTCTTGTTAATTATATCACGTGAAAATATGAATTATTTATCGAAGTGCTTCCTGTTTAATCCCTTGTTTTGCCGATAGGTAATTGGTTCATTTTATTGGATTTGTGAAAAAGAAAGATTAATCTTCTTGGTTCCGATCAACCTAGAAGAATTTTTTTATTTCGTTTATCGTCACACGGTTATTCTCTGACTTATTCTTGGAACTTTCATGTGATCATTAGTGATATTATTTTATTTTTATATGTATAAAAAAGTAAGATTTAAAACCTATTTAGAAAAAACTGTTATTAAGAGTCCTTATTTTTATCTGTTATGGCGTAAGATTTAAATCTTAATGATCATTAAAATGCGTTTTCACATTTAATAGATAAATCTCATTTTATAGGTCTATGTAAATATGTCTCCATAAAAATAAGAACACAGTTTAGCAAAATTTTTGTGTATGCATTTACTAATTAATTACTTTAAAAAATAATAAAATAGTTAAACATTTGAGTAAGTTTAAGTTTTGTAGTTCTGACAATTAAACTTTATAAATATATTTTTTATTTAAAATGCAGAAAAAAATACTAATACTTAATTTTATATGTCTATATAAATGTGCTATTATAGAAATAAGTGCACAATTTTACAGTTTATATGTAAGTTCCTATCATTTAATTATTTAAAAAGTAATAAAGTAGTTAAATCTTCGTAAAGGTCTAAATTCGGTAATTCCAATGAAATCAGTATTACGATTTTATTTAAATGCTTAAAAGGCTAGAAAAGTCATGAGTTTTTACACTATAATATCAAAACTAAATAAAGACATGAAAGACACGTAAAATTAATAGATAAAATTAATTTTATATGACTACATTATTTTAAAAATAAGTACACATATTTACAGTTTAAATGTTAGTTTCTACTACATAATTACTTTATAAACAATAAGTAGTTTAATTTTTAAAGGTCCAAATTTCTTAATTTAAATTAAATCAATATAAAATTTTTGTTTCAGTGCTTTTAAAGCAGACGAAGTACTAAACATTATATTTTGTAAATATATGCTACATTGTGACAGAATAATTAAAATAATTGACTTTATAATATGAGTTTTGCCCACTTTTATAAATAAATATAAAAAATTTAAATTCTCTTTTTGTCTTTTGAAACACAAATAAAAAAGATTATTCACTAAGAAATACAATAATTCTAATTATTCTCTAANTCAAATTTAATGGATAAATCTCATTTTATAGGTTTATGTAAATATGTCCCCATAAAAATAGGAACACAGTTTAAAAAAGATTTGTGTATGCATTTACTAATTAATTATTTAAAAAAATAATAAAGTAGTTAAACATTTGTGCAAGTTCAAGTTTTGCATTGCTGACAAAATAAACTTTATACATATATATTTTTTTCAAAATACTGAAAAGTACTAATACTAAGATTAGTTTTATACGTCTATATAAATGTGCCACTATAGAAATAAGTGCACAGATTTACAATTTATATGTGAATTCCTACCATTTAATTACTTAAAAAGCAATAAAGTAGTTAAATCTTCGTAAAGGTCTAAATTCTGTAATTTCAATGAAATCAATATTACGATTTTATTTAAGTGCTTAAAATGCTAGAAAAGTCATCAGTTTTAACATTATAATATTAAAACTAAATAAAGACACAAAAGACATGTAAAGTTATTAGATAAGATTAATTTTATCTGTCTACATTATTTTAAAAATAAGTACACATATTTACAGCTTGAATGTAAGTTTCTACTAAATTATTACTTTAAAAACAATGAGTAGTTTAGTATTTTTAAGGGTTCAAATTTTTAAATTTAAATTAGATCAATTTGACTTTTTATTGTAGTGCTTTTAATACAGGCGAAGCACTAAACATTATAATATCGAAACTAAGCTTCAAGCTCATTAATTAAATTTGTAAATATATGCTACATTGTGACAGAATAATTAAAATAATTGACTTTATAATATGAGTTTTGCCCACTTTTATAAATAAATATAAAAAATTTAAATTCTCTTTTTGTCTTTTGAAACACAAATAAAAAAGATTATTCACTAAGAAATACAATAATTCTAATTATTCTCTAACTGGCATAAAAAAAAGATTTCTAAAATAAACACTCACTGATTTTAATTTTTGATCTAAAGGAATATTAACATTGACATTGAAGCAATGAAATAAAAGACAATGCAGGTATTAAAGAGCTTAATGATTATCTAATTTTGATAGTCATAGGGGTTGATGATGAAAGATAATGTTACTATAATAGCAAATCATGCTCAGTTCTAAAAAAATGTTCTTTCGTCACAGCTTGATTAAAAACGGAAGTATCAACAAAGATTTGATATTTTTCTGCTTCAAATAATTCCTATTAAATAATATGTATTTAAATGCAATTGATTCGTTTGAAGGATTTTTATAGGAGGTTGCGAATTTCGATAAATTTGGAAAAAAAAACAATTAAAATTCTGAAATTTATCTCTTTTTAAAAAAAAAATACATTTGCTTGAAACAAAAACAATGGTAGACGAACACTGAGATACATTATTAACGCCGGTTAGACCCCATGCGGAAAATATGGTGGTAGAACATCGAAGAAATGATGATTAAGTGCTGAAATTAACTAAATATTAATATTTTAAAAAAATTTAAAAATAAGTAAAACAATTTAAAGCTTCATGTTAATATTTGACACAGGGAATTTATTTGTTTTAAGGGCATAGACTTCCAAAAATAAGTTATCAAATGCCTCATTAAAGTGCTGCATATTAAAGAGTTTTACTTTTGTACTGAGCGGCCACACCTCAATATCTTCTTTTACCATCCGTTTCTTCTAATTCATGCGCTGAGAAAGGAAAGTATGGTAAAAACTATCAGAATATGGTACAATTCATTGTATTTCCAGCTCTATGGGCGCCACCAAAAAACTTGTTATTTTTTACCAATGCGCTTTGTTAATGATTTTGGTAAAATTAGTAGTAAAATATAGTTTTATAATATGTGATTAAATATAATAAGTGTGGTAAATCATGATACCTTAAAGCGTGGTAAAAAAAACCATTTATTCGGTACTTTGGTTCAGTTGACCATAACTTTGAATTTAACTTAGAACCGTAATTTAGAAAACCCGAATTTCCAGCATACCGTTACCATATGAATGGAAAAATTAACAAATGAATGGTTTAAATACCGTATATTTAGGTTTTTAGTACCAGAACTGCATTGTTGCTGTTTTTTTTTTTACCAGAAATGTTATACCAGACAGCGCGGTAATTTTAAAGGATTTTTTTTTATGTGTGCCTTGATTCTTTTTGGGATAGACTCTATAAAATAATGATAGGATTTTTTGCGGCTAGCTCATAGCAGTTTTTAATTGTATGAGACTATTGGAATAGCTGGTTGCGGATATAGATGCATGGCTCTTTCAACTTCATCCTACAGGTTTTCAATGGTATTAACATAACTGGTAAACACTCAGTGGAGAATGAAGAATGTGTAGGGACAAGCATGTCGGTCTAAATCTGTCATGAAATGGCTCTCAAGGCTCAGTGCTGGTCGCTGTTTGATTGAAAATGCAAATGGGAGAAGACATACAGAATAGAAATGATAAGCGGGCATTTATTGGTGCGATTAAAGCGATACATGGGAGACACTTGAGCACCCACCTTACAGTCATGATTTATCTCCAAGTGATTTACATGATTTTGGTTCCCTAAAAAAGTTTTAGAAAAGTTAACGGCCCTTGTCTTGGAAGGAAGTGCAGTAGGTAATTCCAGACTTCCTCAAACAGCAGAAAAAGAATTTTATGGAAATAAAAGAAAGTGAAATCCAAGATGTGGAAATAGTGGTCTAAGGCAAAGGCGTTATCATATTAAGCTATTTTAAAAGCTTAGCGTGGAACCAATACTGATCTTGACTTTAAAATAAATCACAGGTAAAAAAAAACACTTTATATTACTTTTTCTGATGAGACTTGAGCAAAGATCATTTTTGTCTTCCGTAGCTAGTCAAATTTGAAACTAAATTTTCGTTTAAGTTCTTCCCATTGTTTTTCTATGCTGTTTTAGATTTTCCCACTTCATACGTATTTTTCCTTTCAGATTCCACGCAAGATTTCAGAGTGGCGCTGTCCGGAGATGATTCCATGATTTGCAAGTTCACAGGTTACGCTGATTACTACAAATGTTTGAGGTAATAAAAGTCAATTGTATTAATTTTTAGCCCAAGATGTTATTGTTAATCTGGATCAAGGACTAATCAATCATGCATATAACCATTCTCTTTAGTCACAGAATTCAAGAGCTAAAACACAAATAATATGTTTGATAAAAGTAACATGTTTTGCTTGATAAAAGTAACTTGAAAAACTTTCTCCAATGTTGCATTACATGAGCTCATTTTGATAGTTTTCATCTAGGCGGGAAAATGTCGCCAAATTGGCGATCTTTAAAAAAGTTTAATAATTTTTAAAACATTTAAGTTATTTGTCTGTTCTAAAGCCGAGATAATTCTTCACAGTAAGATTATTTATATATATAGTTAAAAATCATCGCATTGCTTCAAATGTAAGACGCTTAAACTATGGCTTTTTTATTTTCCTTGGTGACAGAGTTTTGAAAGACAGCGTTAACTGATTTTAAAATGTTTAATTTTCATCCGCCTCCGTTCTGTTAAGCCTAGTTCGAACTCGTCTCAAGATTCTCTCTGTGCTACTCGAATGCTTGATTTAAAAATTAATTTTTGTTGTTGATAATTTGCATACATATGAATCTTAAATTAATGATTATTACTTTATAGTGTATTATAAAAATAACTTTGATGACTCTTATGTCTATCTCACCTTACTGTAATTATAAATTTTAATATTGCTGAATATCAAAAGTGGTGGTGGCTACTATACACCAAGTAGTGTAAAAGCTACTTTACATGTAGTATAAAAGGACACTGGTGTAGTGAAACACTAAATCCAAGAGTTATGGATAGCATTTTATCACACCATTTTTGTGTAAAGTAGTTAGCACCATTTTTGGCGTGGAGATACACTAAAACTTTTCACAGTACACTAACATCTGTATGAAACTAAAAATAAAAATTGTGGTTAGAAATAAAATACAAACACAATTTTTGGAGAGATATCGTTGTAAATACTAAGCATTTTTTGATTATTTGTATAATCTGTGAACAAATCTGGAATTCTCAACTGATTCGCACAAAATTTTATGCAGAGCCAAGGAACAGAGCGTTCGCTTTCCAATGAGATAAACCGGGTTCGAAAGCCAGCGATGGATGGTCGATACAAATTTAGTCACATAATTAGTATTTTAAAAGGTATATGAAACCCCCTTTATGTGTTCTCACTTTTGGAACGCTTTTCTTTAAACATGAATAATTTATAGATAACGGAGATTAAAAAAATTAAATCGAAGTCATGTATAAAGTACCAGAGAGAAATAATTAAGAGAAAGATTGTATTGAAGAATTGAGAGAGAAATTGTGTAGCATTGCTAAAAAGATGATCTGCAGTGTCGTATTACGTTGTTTGCCGCAAATGATTGTAAAATCGAAAGAACTCATTTACGGAAATTACCTGATGTTCATAAAAATCACTTAATAATGTACAGTGCCAGGTAACGATACTATTATACTCTTTTAATCGCCTTAATTTTTTAAATCACGGTTTAAGTATTTGAAGAAATAAAAGGGTGCATTTTGAAAATTTCACAATTTGCAAAAGGTTTTGCAACCACTACTAACAAACAAATTATCATTAAATTTTTATTTAATATTAATCAGAAATAAAACATTTCTGGTGAATTAACACCATGTTTTATTTGTTTGTGTTCATTACTACTCAAATTTTAATTATGTGTAAGAAATTTGGCCGACGTTTCTAAAGAGCAAATCGCCATCAAGGTTGAATAAATACCACATTAGTGCTAGAATTTCACGGTTTTTCCTCATGGACTTAATAATGGCAATAAAGAGCCGCGATGGCTCAGGGGATAGAGCGTTCGCCTTCCAATGAGGCGAACCGGGTTCGAATCGCAGTCGATACGAATTCCGCATCCGGCTTGCACCGACCACAGTGCTGACGTGAAATATCCTCAGTGGTAGACGGATCATGAGTTAGAGTTCCTTTGCCACCAGGCTAAATACGGGATGTTTTCCTCTCCATATAACGTAAATGCTGATTAGTTCGATTAAAAAGTCCTTCACGAAGGCGAATTTCTCTCTAAACTTAATCCCGGAGTTCCCTTGTGGCTTGCGGAGTTTTCCGAATTCATTTGTTATTTGTAATAACCCGGAAGTATTAAGACGAATTTTAACACCTTTCGCCATCTGCGCTTTGCTTTACACAGTCAACCATCATAAAAGAGCCGTGATGTCTCAGTGGATAAAGCGTTCGCCATCCAATGAGGTGAACCGGGTTCGAATCCCAGCAATGGCTGATCGAAATAAATTCCGCATCTGGCTTGCACCGACCACAGTGTTGACGTAAAGTATCCTCAGTGATGGACAGGGACAGATCATGAGTCCCCTTGCCGTCAGGCTAACCATGGAAGGTTCTCGTGGTCTTCTTCTCCATGTAACGCAAATGCGGGTTAGCTCCATCAAAACATCCTCCGCGAAGGCAAATTTCTCCCAATACTCGATCCAGAAGTTCTCTTGTCTTCCGGATTGGGTTCAAAATTACAAGGCTACGGAGTTGAACGTTAGTAGTCGTAAACCCATAAAATTGGGTCGGCTGTTCAACGACGGTTATAAAATAAGAGTAATGATAATCAAAACCGTATCTATGCTCAAATCTTTAGATGTTTATTTAAAAGGGCTCACGAAAATCGAGAGAAAAGCTACTTTTATAACGACAGGCAAAAAATATAAAAATCATTAAAAGAACAAAATAGTAATTATTAATTCTCTGGAGGTATAAAATGTAGTTCATTGAGAAAATGAACCATTTTATTCGCTTAACGTATCGATGCAAAAGAAAAAAAAAACCCAAATAAATATCATCAAGGTAGAAAAAATACCATCTCGCAAATTAAAACAAAACCTTTGTATCTTATCACAATCTTACCACGTTATTCTTCAAGTTATTAAAATTGGCAGCAGCTACTAAAAGGCAAATAACGGTAAAATTTATATTCAAGAATAAATTAGAAGTAAAGAGCTGTTAGTAAATTAAAGCAAGGTTCTTAGTTTTTTTTAACGCTTTTACCTCGATCATAAGCTTTTGAGAGTTAACTCTGATATTTAAGGAACATTGGCAAAGCATTTATTAATTTCCGAAAAATGTACTTCATAATTTAAAATAAATTAAGTTTTGAATTAATTTAATCTGATATCATAAACTATATTTTCAAAATAAATTTTAATATTGTTACAAAATCAGTTCGTATAAAAAAATTGGTCTTTTGATGTTTTACAATGGCTATAAACATGCAACTATGTCTTAATTTTCGCGAAAGCAATTATGTAAGGTTCTATTCCTACTAAATTTATTTATACCTAAATGAAGAAACTGTCCTACGCATAAACATTGAAGCTAACTAATTTATTAAAACTCTTTAAAGAGGCACTTAATAAATTTGTTGATGAAACTGTTAACAGTATGTGGATTCATTAAAAAATAATTAAAACCAACGCTATGATCATGAATAATATTTTAAGCATTTACTTTTTGAACGTGTTTTTTTTCTTGAATTTAGACTTGAAAAGACTTAATTAATTAAAATGGCATTCTAAAAAATATTTATCAAGTTTTTTATTGTTAATTTTACTTTTTCCGCTATAAATAAAAACTTCCGCAAATTATTTTTACACACAAAGGATTTTAATTTTTATCCTCTGAAAAATCCTAAAGATTTTATAATGAAAAATAGATTTAAAACTATGCTAATTAATTTAATTTTTATAAAACTTAGAATTTTAACTTAGAATGCGTTGCTTTATTTTTCCATATAGTTATTAAAATATATTTAAAAGCAAATACGAGGAATAAATTCGAGAAATTTTCAGAAATAATTTAAATGAAAGGATAATTTTTTTTAACTTCTACTTCATTACAGTTTATTGTTAAAACTAAAATGCGGTGTTTTTGCTTAGATTATAAATATTATTAATATTCTGATATAAACGTGTGTTTTGATACAATTAATTGTTCAAGTAATAGTAAGAGGAAAAATTAAAGCTATATTGACAAGTCAAAATCTAACTTCCATTATTACCAAGTGATGCATTTCGCCAAATATAACTTAATTGCTCTTTTGAGATAAAACTTCATTTAGCCTGCATAATTTTCCTAGATGTTCCATAATAATTTTCATTTTTTTGATTTCTACAACAACATTACATATTCCTTATTAATAATGCATTATATGGCACAGCTGCTTGTTCGATGCCGCTCGGCAACCCTCGGAACTGCTTTCGGACTTTTCTTCGTATTGCTTCGTTTGCTCATTAAATAATTCACTTCAATCGAGTTTTGCATACTTTTTTGGAGACTAAAGTTTAGAATAAATAGTTCATGCAATCCCCCCCACAAAATTCAAAATATATATTTAGTTTTTACGTACAAATGATTTTCATTACGTTATGCTATACGATGCTTTCTGCATGCTTTTGATTATAGTCTAACAAATTTTAACTTAAAGAAAATAAAATTTAACTTTCAACAAAACATAATTTAATTTAACTTAAAACAAAATGCAACTTTAAATATGGAATAATAAAAGAGCGTTTAACTGTTTTGCTCTATACTTATACCAACGTATAAAAAGAAATTCCATCAAAATTTTAACCGCGTTCGTTTAAGTGTTTAATTATAATATTGAACAACTTCGCTTTATGTTTTTGCCAACCCTTGAAAAGTGAATTCTTCGATTGTATAACCATGTACGCACGTACGTTTCATGCAATATTGATTATTAATAATATAACTTAGTATAGCTTGATTTTCAAGACGCAGTAATGTGAAGGAAAAAATTCATTTATATTTTAATTACAGATTTGAGAAGGTAAAATACATATACTGTTTTTTAATTCATTATACAACTTCTCATGCTCTACAAAATATAACATGATGCTTACAGATGTAAGTGGGAAAAATACATGTAATGTTGTACTTATGTAATGTTGTAAAGAAAGAGATTAAAATTTAAAATTGAGTAAAATATTTAGGTTTTAACAAA